CCTAGTCAAAAGCTCACCTTGAGGAAATGGAGCAGAATGTTATGCTCACTTGAGTTATGGGAACTTGGTCTAATGCACCTGGTTAGTGAAATTGCAGCACTGTGATGCTAAATGAGCGCTCTGTGCATGCAACCATGCAAAATGCACACCAGTGCACAATTGTGCGCAACGGCGCTGCAGGTGGAATGCCACATCTGCCAATTTGACCTAGGTATGGGCACTCTGCGTGGGACAAAAATGGACAACTGTTTCCGCAGAAGGAGTTACTCTTGTGTAAGACACCGACAAAAGCCAGTGTGGTGTAGTGGTTTGAGTGTCGGACTAGATTGGACTCCGGAGATCAGGATTCGAGTCCTTGCACAGCTATAGAAACCCATTGAGTGACCTCGAGTGAGTCACACATTCTCAGCCCCAGAAAACCCCATGACAGGTTCACTTTAGAGTCATCATAAGTTGGAAATGATTTGAAGACACACAACAAAAGCAGTATTAAGATGCTGCTCATCATATGCTGCCATGCCTGGCTGTTACACTCCTCACAATAATTATGGAGGTAGGCATAGTACGTATGTTTTCCCCAGTATAGTATGTTGTTTTTTAATTGTCTTGCAAAATAATTCAGGGGGGTTTGGTCTTGAATTAAGATCCATTAACTCTACAAAAGCCCTGTTCCTAATGAAGACTGATAGAAACTATAGGTTTCTTGATATGAAACAAAAAATCTGCTAGCCTTTTTTGAATCTTCTAAGGGATGTGGCTAAGGTGATTTTCACAGTGAATGTTGATAACTTCAGTAATAATCAGCATGCCATTGGTGGTCCTTTTTTGTCCATTAGCATGTGCTGAAGAGTGATACCTTTTTCCTAGCTTTTTCCTCTTGTTCAATGCAAAATATCTACCCTGATTGAAAACTGGCTGCTGACCTGGGACAGATGAACCCGTACAAGGTTTCTCTTCTAAGGGAACTGAAAGAGCAGATCCAGTTCCTTTTCAGATCCAAAAACTAGTTCATACTTGGAACCAGTTGAAAGATGAAGAACCGTGGGAAAGGAGAACAGTGGATTGGGATCTTGCAGTGGTCCACTGAGAGTTGGTACCTCTTCTCCCATTTACCAAGCATTATTGTATTTTCTAATTATTGTCTTTCTTAATGCATCATGTCTTCTTTTGGTCCAGTGTGGTCATTTTGGCTTCTAGGGAGAATTCAGGCTTCATTTGCTCTCAGACCCATTTGTTTGTCTCTTGGGCGGCCCAAGGTGTCTCTAGAACTCACCTCCAGCATTAACATTTCAAATATATATTAGCATGTGCAAAGTTTTATGCAAACAAGCATCAACTTGCACAAAATTGTGCGCATGCTAAGATATGTGCAAAAGCGGGCATTTAGAAATGGTAGCTGGCGTTTAGAGAGAAATGCAACATATTGCAACCTTATCAGAAAGGCTGGGATGCAGGAATGGTCAGTACATAAACATGGCAGTGTATAAATTATCACTGTCCATACAATTGTGGGGCATTGCAGTTTCTCTTTTT